CAACTGCACCAGTTGCCTTAGACTCAGAGTCCGTGCTGCAGGGAAGCCCTGATAAATATCTATATGTGCATGAAGGAGGAGCGCAGCTCTTCTGAAACTCCAGGAGGCTGTCAGTAATGTTAGCTAAACATTTTCAGAGCGCACAGTGGGCTAATCTTCACCTTTCATGCTGCTCTTTACGCTTAGAGGAGCTGATGAAGGCTCGGGTTAGCTGGTACACTGATTAAAGCTGTCCCAACATAAACCCAGGTCCAGCTCTTTAAATACAGACAGCCAGCCAAGACAGAGTCTGCATGTAACTCAAGGAGGGTCCAGCTAGGATGTTTTAGCTTTATTTATTCATATCTGTTTGGCTGGACAAGAGAAGAAACATCTAAGAGAGAAGGAGGAAGAAGGAGTGCAGGACAAACATGAGGAGTTACAGAAACCAGCATCCATTTACTTTTCTGGCACATGCTCAGTGAGGTGTTTGTTGTGCAGAGAGCCTGAACACTGTCAAGTATTAGGCCATCTGTAAACAGGTCAGCATGGATGCTTCTGTCTCCAAAAAACAATCTAGTGGAGGCTAAAATGCTAACATTGAGATGTGAAAATGAAGCTTAGAAACCCTTGTGTTTTATCACAGTGGCTTCATGCAGTTTGGATGTCGACTTTAGAGAACTCACTATTATACCTCTCAAACATGGATTGATCAGCTGATGGTCCAAATGCATCTCTGAGATCTTATCTGGATGTTTTCCTCTTTCTTATTGACATGACTTTCAGATATCTTTCATCTGCTGTAGAAAGTCTTTTAGGCCTCACGTTCTTTTTTTTGTCCTTCACTTGTCTAGTTTCCTCCCTTTTTTAACTGACACTTCACACCGTGCTGAGATATGCTAGGTTTTTAGCTAACAGCTCTTTGGGAATCACCTTGTTTATGCAAAAATACAATTTTATGTCAAACTGTGTTATCGTTGGCATTTTTCACAGATTCAGCTAAAGAAATGGGAAGAAACACTGTGTTTTTCTGATGCTAGTAACAACGAGCCTCAAGATACAATTTTAAATCTGTTATTTGCTTAGTTTTCTGTGCTATGTAGACACAACACTGGTTTATCCCTTTAGTTAGGAGTCTTTTTATGCTTCAATTAGCCATAGGTCAGAGTTAATGGGCTTAACAACAACAACAACAAAAAATAATTCCTCTGAAAATGGTCAGTACAAGGACTGGACTTGAAATGAGTCGAAAAGCAGCCAGAGTCCAAAGAAGAACTGTGAAAGCCTGGGGAAGTAATGCTAAAGAAAATAAAAATAAAATAAAAAATGAAATACACAAAGTCTAGCTCAAAGAAATAAAAAGAAATGAGGGGTGGCTTAAGACTTTTGCACAGTAGTGTAGATCATGTGGTTTTGATGCTGTTGGTGGATTCATGCTACAATGAAGGATAATTTATAAACTGTAATTATATCTAAGTGGAACTCCTGTTTGGGAATCAGTGCTAACATTCCTGAAGAGAAAGCCAAGAAATGTTTGTGTGCACTCAGACGTCAGTTGGCTGAAACGTCAGTAACATCAATCTCCTGTCTATTGTTTCTAATCATGCTTCAAACCTAGCGTTTCCATGGCGCTGGGTTAGAAAAACTTGTACAATTGCACATAAATCTCAGCTTCAAACATGCGAAAAGTCGATGCCACATGCTTGAGTAAACATTTTTTCCCACCAGTGATTTCCCCGCCACAGAGATAAGACCCACTGAGTGTGCACTGGGCTGCGTTTTTCTGTGAGATCTGGTCTTAATTGTGGGAAGCGACAGCTGGAACACATTGCTGATATTTCAACGAGTGTCAGTCAGAGCAGGGTAGGGCGATGGCGCTGCTGCCCGCCGTGATTGTCTGACTTACTCTTGTTTGCTCTCACATATGTGGGGGTTAACTTAGGAAACTTGGGGGCTCCACTTGAAGCCAGAAGGTTGATGTATAGATTTGTATTCTGATCATCTAATATATAAATACTGAGTACAACAGGTCTGTTAGTTTTCTCAGCGATCAGAACATTGATGTGTTTCACTGCAAAACTGCACTGTTAATGTATTTCATAGATTAAATGATTTTATTTTTTAAAAAAGCAGCAGTTAAAAGTATAAATTCAGCTTACATCAGGTGTGTTATGCACATTTCTCGGACAAAATTAAATAAAACATGTAAATCCGGTGCTTTTGCAAGACATCGTTACTCAAAGCTGTTTTAAACAAATATGCCGTTCAATCCACAAACCATAAACAATTTCTTCTGCTTTCAGGATGACGTGCCGCGTGTTTTAGCTGTAACTCCTCTGCCAAACCTTCAATAGAATTCAAAATTCATTGCTTCATTTTGGCTCATCAGATTTGAAATTGCTAATATGTCACAAATATTAACAGTTTTAATGGCTTTTCTTAAAGGTTGTTGTTAGAGCTTGAGTGGCAGTGTAGCCAATTCTCAGACTAGCTTAATGAGGTCATAATGTCTAAAAATCATAAAAAAAAGAAAAACTCTAATTCAACTAACTTAAGTTGTTAATAATAATAATCTCATATGTGGGACATGTATTTTGAAACATCAGTTTAAACTTCACTCTTGTGTTGCTTTAGCTCTTGTGCATGTCCGAAAATCTTAGGCGGCCTCTCACCTGAGTGCTGGCCAGGTGTGGTGGGTGGAGCTTCATCTTGCATACCAGGCTCCATATCTCAGGGGTTAGAGCACTGGTCTTGTAAACCAGGTGTCGTGAGTTCAAGTCTCTCTGTAGCCTAGCATTATGGAAAGTGTACACAGGGTAGAAATCCTCTGTGGTTCCTTTAGTGTTAACCTTGGAGACGCTTCGAAATGGAGTCTAGAAACTGCTAGGTGGCTATGTCCATCTTTCTCATACAGTCTATCCATGGATTTACTATGAGTATTTTTTTAGCATCATGATGGAAACCAGCTGCTTCAGTAGGCTTTAAAATACAGAAGTGTATTGTTTCCAGAGTGTAAGTCTCATATTTGCATGTTAGGTTTCTCCCGACTTATAAATCTGATCTGTTGTAATTAAACTGAATCATTTCTGTCAGCAGCTCCGTCCCCACACGTTGATCTCTACACCTGATTACAGGAATCTGATCTAATCTGATCTAATCACGTTAAATACGACTCAGCTGGAAACATTCCTCATGTGTGAGGATCAAACAGCCTCAGACCACCAAGACTGTCATCGCTCTTATGTAAGCTCTCCTCCTGCACGGCGTATGGAGCTATTGCAGAGCTACACTAGATACAGATGAATCTGAACTTTTCCAGGATTTTTATCTTTATTTTACGTAACTTTAAGGTTGTTAAACTTCCCTTTTCTACTCTTAAGAACAAGTCAGCCCATGAAATATTAGAATTAAAAGTTAATGAACTTTACAGTGAAATGTTATCAAAATGTATATAATTTAATTACATCCCATTTGCAAATTAAGATAGATGAAAGTACAGTTTTGCATACTTGTTAACGGAGACTCTATAGCGTCTCACTCACAACAATATGAAACAATAATGGACCGCTCGACTTTCTTCATAGTTTCAAAATGTCCTGATCTGCAGTGTGTTGATACACGTGATTTGTTTTCTGTGCACGTCCTCGCTGCACTGACAGGTAAGGGCTGAACCTGCCAGACCTCATCACCCTCCTTCGATTTTGTCCTCAGAGGCATCGTACCTGAGACAAACCACCTAACTCCTCGAGTCTAAAGGCCAGTGATGGCTCACGGTCGCTGCTGACACCCGCTGTCAGAGTGGATCGCTCATAAACCATCACCAAGTTTAGGCGCAGCGACGCTGCCATCGCCTGATATCACAGACTTCACCTTTGGTTTTACTGAACTGAATATTGAGATTTAAAAACGAATTACAGTCGAGCTGTGATCAGCACTGAAGAAAAGAAATAAAAAAAAATACATGTTCTGCTTTCAGTTTTTCTGACTGGCTGCCCCTCACATGTGGAGGGTTTGAAGAACATGTTGGGCTCATGTGCCTCTCATGGCCTAACAAAGATATTCCTGCTATGATGTCATACTGAAAACCGGGTGATATTAAGAGCTTTGTGAGGGGTTGACATGATTTTTTTTATTATTTAATTAAAAAAAATTAATCATTTAGTGATTAAATGATGCAGAGTAGGGTGTGGGCTGATTTTCCACTAAAATCCAAAAGGTGTGATGCTATTTTCTCAGTGTGCAACACATTAGCTTACATTAGACACAGAATATATACACTAGTGTCTGAAGTTATAAAAAGTTGCTTTAAAAATGTGTTTAAATGTCATTCATGTTTTTTACATCACAACAATATCCTTGTTGTGATGATTTAGACCTTGATACCTGTGCAGTGACAGTGTGAAAGGCTGACATGCAGCTGCAGGAATGACTGACTTTAGTAAGTATGTGCTGCCGTCTGTGGCCTCAGACTCTGTGCTGTTGGCACTAACTGACCTCCGTAGATCCAGCTGTGGTTCTTGCTTTTGTTGCTGCTTGAGCGCCACCTTCCTGCCATGTTTCCTCCTCTGCTCCCCTCCCTGAAGGAGGCGTGAGGAGGTCCTCCTCTCTGTTAACAAGTCCTCCCCTTTCCCGTCTCTGACCTGCAGCAGCTCTCAGGCAGCATGCAACAAATGCTCCCATCAGAGCGACCTGCAGCACTGCAGTCGGGCTCACCTTTAACCGCTGTAGCTGCAGCTGGATGACCTCCCTGCTCACTCTATGAGGAGGCTTTAAACTGGGAACAAACCAAAGAGGAGCTGCTGGATGAGTTTTGGCTTGTTGGGATTGCTTTTTCCCCCTAAAGGTGTCATCACCTGGATTTTCTCCTGAGACAGTTTGAGAAAGGACTCGTTTTCTGTGTTTTTCTGTTTCTGTGCTGCTGTGGGAACGTAAGTTTCCTGTGAACTTTTCTTCTCGTGTTTGGGTTAAACTACTGTTTGGTGAAATGAGAGAGATGACTTTCTTGTTTCTTCTCTTTGCAGAAATAATGTTCTTCTCCAGGACGGTCCTGCAGCAGTGGTGCTTTGCTGTCTTCTTGCTCTGCTCTCCGGTGCCGCACTTTGGACGGCCGATTGATGCCCTGAGCAGCAGAATGTAAGTCTGGATTTCATTTTTGAGTCTTTTCATGTGTGTCCAGCAGCTCGCCTCATCATGGTGGGTGAGCTGCAGGCTGGAAAATGTGCTCGTTTGTGTTTAGTTAGCCTTCGCCCACCTGTATGTTTACCCAGAGCAGAGACCATCTCGGTGCGATAAACCCCTCCGACCTCCCTCGCTGTCCTCTCAGAGCGTTTGGGAGTGAGTTGGATGAATAATGCTGATGTTCGGCTCGGCTTGGGACCAAACCAAACCTGCTCAGCTGTTTGATGCCAAGCAGAATAAATGCTCCTTCACGCTGCTCGGTCAGAATTTTAAACACACTTCAGGAGCTTTTTTTCCACTTTGGAAAGATCATATCGCTGAGATGGTTTTTGGATGTAAGCGTTGGGAGGATGCTCTGAGCCGACGCTGAAGGAGGAGGAGGAGAGCGGAGTGATTCAGAGCTCCGGGTTTTCCTTAATGGACTCCAGACGTTTCCCTTGCCGTGTGTGATATGTACCTAATGGGATTTTTGGGGGGACGGGGTTCACGCTACCTGGGTGGAAAGAAAAACAAGAGCGCAGTGAAGGGATCAAAAATCAGCCAGCGGTGGGAGCTATTGACCTCTGACCCTGTTTTCCGTAGACTCAATTGTAGTTCAGTATGTTTTCTTTAATATTAAAAAAATAAGTGCAGACGGTTTTCTTTGCAAGCTCCTTTGACTACGATGACCTGGATGACTGAGAACCTTCACAGAAAAAAATATATAAATTTTCATGGTTTTTCATTTTTAATTTGTGCTTCTCAGGCTGTCAAACATGAACTTTTGGTATTCATGAAGCAGTTTTATGAAAGATAGGTCTCATTTTTTTCTGTTAAGGAGTTACACGTTAACAAATGAATGATTGCACATTAATTTGTTTAAATGTATTTCAAATTTTTAAAACTTAATACTATTTTGTTTTTACATCACCGGGTCAACATAATGACCTCTCGACTGCACTGACTTTATGTCCAAAGCATTTGTTGATTTTAGAGATATTAACAAAGTCAAACCGGAGCTTTTCTTTCTTGTAATACTGTTTTGAATCAGGAGATGGCGCCGTGATTAAATTTAAACTTTAACTGTTAAATTGGTCACCGAGTAAAAGCAAAAACTATTGGTGAAGCCAGAGCGCGACTAAAAAGGGAGCACATGTCTCAGCTAGCGCTGCCCCCTAGTGGTGAAAGTTTTAGTTAAAATCT